TCCAATCCAACAGATGCAGCATCTTGGTCCCTCTACACCCATCAATAAAGGCACCAATTAATGTGAATAACGATAGACCGATCAAAAAATGAGACTATAAACAGAGACCAAATAACGTATCATTACAGTACTATGATGTTTTGAGTCCCATTTTTATTCATCCAAAATTCAGGTTTCATCTATCTTCTTTACTACCACAGCGGTTGAGGTCTATTTTATCCCATTTTTTGGTCATGACATTTCCCTATATACATGATAATAAGCCAGTCAAAAAGCAAGTTCATTTATATATCATTTCTTTTCTGGAGTCGGCCCCCCCCCCCGGCAACGGAATTGACTGTGTTCACCGTCGTGGTGGCGCCGGGGGTTGTGATGGAAACTGGAATTGTTCAATGAATGCAGGGCAATGTGAGAACACCCCACGCTTTTTTGTTGGGAAAGTGACTTATATTCACTAAGTTGAAGCGTTACCCTTACTAGTGTTGGGTTTACCAATTGGTGCCGGTATGTAAGTTGTAGTCGATTAGATTCTTGTATAGTGAGAAACAATACTTTCTTTTGTGAATGTATTTAAAAATTTATTGAACCTTATAAATTTGTATATCCTTTAATCTTATTTGTTTTTCTTTTTCAATTATTTAATGCACTGCATGTTTTATACAAGGATGTGTGGTTTCCCATTTCCCATCTGCCAAACCCTTTCAATTGGTCTTCCCTTATCCTTTTCCAAGCAAATCCTTACACATGGGGTCCAGAATATAATTTCTACTATATGTGTATATATATGGATAGTTGACATATATGTATAATTTATATATGCATGTGTGGGCTTGTGTGGATACATAATGATCTTTTGTTGAATAGAAAATACTAACATGCATTCCAGATGGATTACAAAGTAATTGCAATGATTTTTGTAGATTAAGATTGTTCTAAAAAATTAATGGTGTGATGTGGAATGTTTGATTTTCTTTTATTCTTTAATGGATTCTTATTTCATTGCATAAGTTAGTTGCATAAAGCTTTTTTTTTTTGGTCAGGAACGACGAGTAGGTAGTAACCTTCTAGGGATGTGATCATTAGAGTCCTCTTATTGTAGAATGTTTGATTTGAGCTGTAGCAACTAACCCGACAGGGTAACCCATTACCACAACACCACCAAAGCTGAGTAGCAAACCACATTATCCCTGTGAATCGAATTCTACTTGATAATTACATAAGAATCAAAGAAAATCCTAAATGGGTACGACTTACTATTACCAGCTCGGGTTGGAGTTGCGTACAACTGAAACAACATGGGATTCAATTTATTTCTCCGAAATTAGCCTTTCTTTTTTTTGAAAATCAGTTGCAAGCAATATTTCCTATGAAACAGATTGACTACTTTTTTTTTTTTTTTTATCAATCAAAAGCACAATCAATCCAAAGATAACAATTTATTAGGTTTTTGTCATCAGATCGAATCATATCTCAAGTGAATAACCGTCCACTCTCAATAATTAACTTAATTTTAGATTCACTAAAATGAAGGAAAAAAAAAAAACCATATTCGATATCAATATTCATATAATGGTATCATAAAAATCTTTCTCGGTGACTCGGAGTTCTTTGCTTTGAAGAAAGGAAAGTTGGATTTGGTTAGGTGGGAAAGAGACTCTTATGTGAAGTCAAAATTCCCACGGGAAATGACTGGTGAAAATTCCCATGGAAGACCTAAATGGCTTGTGACCATTGGCTGGGTGATTAAACTGACCAATCAATGGCACAGTCCTTTTTCTATAAAAGGAAAAAAGAGAAGCTCACAAGCAATCTTGTCCATGGATTGTTGACAAATAACAAAACTCATTTTTTCTTAGTGAGAAATCTATTCAAAGTCGCATAATCGGATCCCATGAGACACATACCTGTAGAGTAAATTTTGAATATCACTAAGTCAAATCCATAATGTCTAAGTTTATGATTTGCTTTAAAATAACTCGACACTACTGAATTATCGGTGCCGATTAAAACTCATGCTCTTTGCATGCCTGCAATAAGCTAACGTACAATGGGCTTGTTTAGAGCTAATTTTTTAGGTGAAAAGATGCCGTTTGCATCGTTTTGTAAAAAGGTCAGAATTAAAAAAGTTCTTCAAAACCGTTGGGATGTTTTTTAAAAAGATAAAAAAGTTGAAAAAATCCGTTTTGAATAATTTTCTACATTTTTTGGCTTTTTGTGTAAAAATAAAAAAATAATTATATTATGTATAAACTATGCATAATAGTTCTTAAAATATGAATTTTAAATTTTTTTACATCACTAATAATATTTTATGAATATAATAAACAAAAAAGTTATGTGAAATTTGCAGCAAAACTTCAAAAAAATTGAAAGAAAAGCTCATAAATGAATCAGCCAATACATGTTTTTTTTTGGTTCAAAAAGCTGCTGCATAAGCTGATAAAAAAATTAAGGTTTAAACAAACATGTCTTATTTTACTCTAAAACTCTTTAAAACTATCTATTTAAGTTAACTCCAAACCGACTTAATGTCCATGGCGAGGCTCACCATGGAGCTTTGCAAAAATCCAAAAGAGCTCCGGAAGAGTTTATTTTGGGTGATATGAAATCAAGGAGCTCTTTGATCTTGATTGTTGATGTTGATTTAGATAGACAGGACTCTTCCTTCTTTGGCATTTTTGCATTGATTTTTCTTGTTATATATTAATTATTGACAACACTTCGATTTTTTGGGGGTTTGTTTGCGTGGAGTGGTCCATGAAAGATCCCATTTTGTGGGGATTGACATTATAACTAAATTCAAAGTTTGGTAGCATCACCTCTCATTCAGACGGAAAAATTTGAGATAGATTTGCCAATATGTGACATGAAACTATGTCTTGAATCCAAAAAAGACATTAAAAACAAAAAAAATTTGTCCAAAATTCTTAAAAGACCAAACTTTCTTTAACATTATTTTCTACTAATGAGCTTTTGGCAAATTGATAACAAAAAGTCAATACAAATTTTTCTAATTTAGTTGCACAAAATGGTCATGTTTCCAACCCTAATCAGGCATCCCCATCGAAAAAAATTGCCCCAAAGTCCTTTAAATACCAAACTTTCATGAAACGCATTTTCTTTCTAATGAACTTTCAATGAAAAATTAATCCAAATTCTTTCAATTTAGTTGCAAAAATATAGTCGGGTTTCTTCTTGGTTAGTGTTTCCCGGCACTACCTAGTGCTAGGCATCCCCTTCAAATTCCCCGTCCCATAAGACTTGCGGTGCAAGGATGGGTGGATGAGTTTTTATCCACTTGATTGTTATCCGAGTTTAAAAAGTCGTACATCAACCCTATACTATTAACAAATGTACCAATATATTTCAGGGTTTCTTGGGAAAGGAATTGGAAATACAAAGCACATATTATTGGAAGATTTGCACAAAAGTGACACTGAAGTTGGATCAATGACAATTTCCACTAGTTTGAGACAAAATTAATAAAGTTTTTCTTTTCGGAAGATGGTACGTTGCACGTACCAAGAAACCATCCATTTCCAACTTGTTACTCGGCATTATATGCTTCGACCTTTTATACATGCCACTGCTACTGTCGCTCTCTACCCACTCAGGTAACTAGTGCTTATCCTTCTTTTTTGTTTTTTCGGTCAGAAACTAGTGCTTATCCATGAGGCCTCATATGTGATGTGTTTGCCACAGGGCAGCCTCGCAGGCCAGTACATGAGACTTTCGTCCACTCAGATATTTCGAGAGACTCATTATAATGTGTATAACATTGTCTCTTGATTGAATCTGAATTTGAATCTAATTTTTAAAAAAAAACTGATATGTTAGTTTAATAGTCTACATCTAAATTTAGTAAAAATTGAAAATTTGATCGACTCCGCTCGTAAAATATATGATATAACGGATTCGAATTTGAAAAATAGACTATAAATTAAAACAACCAATCTAGATGACAACTAATTAAATTTTGCTTTCATTTAGATTTGGATCAAAACCTGATCTATTGGCATAACTATACGGAGAAAAAACAAGTCAAAGAAGACGAAACAGAAGTGAAAAGCTATAACAACCATATACAAGGTTACTGCACAGTTTTTTGGGGCCACTATACTCCCATTTTATGGAGTAGCCTTCAAAGACAACCATCTTGTTAGTCTTTTGTTTGGACCTTCAAGTTAGTATATAGGCTTTTAACAGATGGCCCATAAACTAAATTATAGACGCTAACTAGTATGAAGGCTTTAGTTCACTATCTGGCCACGGAGCTCCTCAGGCTTAGTTCGGATGACAAAGACCTTGTATCATGTATAGTGAATTGAGAGATTTCTGAGACTTGTACGAAGATAAGAACTTACTCTTTTCAAGTCTAAGACAGTGATTCGATCCTCGCAATCAGTTAAAGAATATTAAAGACTAGCTCAAAGAACTAGTACGGACCATTAGGGTTTTGTATTTTCTTGGATTTGCTAGTAATTTAGGACTATTAGGATTTCGTATTTATATTGTATTGAAAAATTGAATTCAATAGCTTAGTATTATTTTGAATAAATGTATAGACGAATTTTCTTTTCTTCTCAATTGACTTGGTAATAAATAAGACTTCTGAAGATTTTAATCTGATATTATTACGATAATCAGATGATTATAGTTTGTGTCGTTTAATCTCAGTTCTTTATCCATGCTAACCTTCATCCGTAGGCAACTTCAGAAATACCAACATGCACTACAACCGCAGGGGTGTGCTCCATCTCGAAGATATAAAGAGGACAGTTACCATAAAACCATTTTTTTTTTTTCTGAAGGTGACAATTACCATAAACAAACGGACTGTGGTAGATCAAACATAAGAACTTTGTATGTCTGTGACAACAATTACATATCTATAAAAAAAACTAATATATATATATATAGTTCATACTTATCACTCGATAAAAGGTAGTGGACGACATCGAACAATTACTGTAAAAAGACAAACAATATTTCTGTAAATTCTACTCAATCTCAAGCTGAAAGTGGCTTGTGGAACTACTGCCTTGAGCTTGAGAGGGCTTGGAAGGAATCGCGGCTTGGGATTTCTGAAACTTGACTCCAGGGGTGGTTGATGATTTTGGAGAAATACTTGCACATCGAGGGAAGGCCTTCCCCACTTTCCTGAGTGAGTACTTGAAGGTTTTGAAGAGTGATACATACAATGGTAAGTACGAGATTGCAAAAATACAGACCGGTAGGAGCGCCACTGCATATAAGGCTATCTTAGTCCAATGTTCATTGTTGTGAATCATTAGGAGAATTGTTGCTGCAAATGCCAGCATCATAAACGAAACTGAGAGTATCAAAAGGGTAACTCCTAGCATGAGTTTTTGAGGAAGTGACTGTTTGAAGTCCTTTAGTTGAAACGAGGATGTGAGTATTGAGAGAAATACAATCACTGAAGTCAATGCAAATGTGAGAGATAGTACATCTGTTAGAGTGAATATGACAAAGAAAGGTTCGTTGAGAAGAAGTGGATAACCGGTATATTGATTTGGGCCTCCTGGTACAGTGTAGGCGGCAGCAAAAGCAACAGTGGCAATGAGCACAGCAACAATGGAGCAATTTTCAGCAGTGCGCTTTAGCCATTCTTTGGCTTCTTTGCGGAGGACAGCATTTGTTTCCGTAAATAGCGTCGCAGCTGTTTGCCCTTGGGAGTTGTAGTGCTTGACGAAATGACTTGAAGAGATTTTCTCCACTTGCTGCACTTGCATAACAATCACATAAAGACATTGTTTTATTTTCAAGTTATGCCTTGAGATAAAATCTCTTGGGTTGTCACTCCATAATTTTAATGACAATGATACTTCAAGCATTTAGATTATGAACTAAAATATCATGACAGCAAATTCAATATGCAATGGTGAAGTCATATCATCAGTGACAGATATGGTAACACTATGTTTTTATAGTGTTTTATAATTAGACAATGATACAACGGGTCAGTGGTGGAGGATATCATTTTTCCCAAAGAATATGCAGTGAAGAATATGTGTTTTCTCCGCATGTGCTAAAGGAATGGAACAATGCTAGAAGTGCACCTCAAATAAGAGTAGATCTTCTTGTAATATCAGAGCAGGGCTTCGCATGTCTTCAGTCCCTAGATCATTTGATCTTTTGCTAACATAGTGTAGTATAGAGTTGCCATTTATGTCAAGCTTTCGGATCAACCTCCTCATTGGAATTTCCAATTTTACTATAAAATCAAAGACTTGTATTTGGCGATTCTTGGCCACGATATGTAAAACATTACGCCCACGATAATCAACATACTCTATTGCCTGAGGATATGACATAAGTATTTCTTCAACAATCTCCATAATGCCTGACTTTGCTGCCAAAAACAATGCAATTCTCGCAGCGGATTTTAGATTGCTTGATGCTGCTTTCTGTGACGTCACCTCTACCCCTTGGCCTTGGGAAGTCTTGGAGGTATATTTGTGGGTCTTTGGCTTACTTGGGTTTAATGCAATTTCAGTATCCTCCCATGAGGTGTCTCTCTCTATCAAAAGCTTGGCAAGTTTCACTGCTGACTCATAGTTGCGTTTCTGCATTTGGATTGATTCCCACATGGGAATTGTACATGTTCGAGCTTTTGAAGAAATAAAAGTCAGATATGTTTGTCTTCAAACAAAGATATAAGAAAAAACATGTTATGGCAAACCAAAAAGTACTATTAACATAAAAAAAAAATTACTTCCACTGAACTTTTATGACATATAATAACTACGATAATTTTTTATGAAGAACAGTATGTCATGGATGCTAGTGATGTTGCCAACTCGAAAGCACAGCAGCCCAGTGGGCCTTATCCGTGACCCAACAGCCTAGCTCGGCCCAGCTTAGAAAGCAAGATGATCGGTTGGCCCACTAATGGCCCGTGATATTTAAAAGATTTTGCCCTATTATGCTAACCATTAATCAATATCATCGTTTATTTCGATCAATAACGGTCATTTTTTTTTATCTCAATTTCAACTATGAAATTGTTAATTTAAAGAAGTAGATATTTAATTTAAGCAATTTATTAAAGACACAATTATGATTTGTTTATGGTCCATCAGACCATTCAATTGGGAGAGATACAGAAATAGAATTCCTAGTATTGAAGACTTCTACTTTATTACATCGTTCAAGCATCTCCTTGACTGAAGGAAGAGTGAAGAAGCTTGAATTGTGTCTTAACGTTAGTATTGAAAGACAATGTGTGATTTCTAGTTGAAGTCCCATAAATGAATATTAGTAAAACAGGATGCTAGACTTATTCAATAGCCCTTTACCTCCATTTGTCGTAGTAGTTGTTAGACTTGAGATACCTGAAAAATATACCACATGAATACGTAAGGTACCGTTTAACCACATTTTTCAAATATATGTATTTTTTTTTCCTTTAAATATTTTTGAGAGTGCTCGTTTTTTTTTTTTTTTTTTTTTTTCGTTTTTCCATTATCCCAATTTACTTCGTACCTTTAAGCATGATTGTATGTATAGTAGTATATACATATCTGACTTATATACTAAGACGTATAAATGAAAAGTTAAGTGTCGTACAAGAGTAAAAGAATTGCTGGAGAGATCCTTGTGTTCTCCCTTTGTCGAATGCCGATGGATTGATTGCAAGAAGTTGAAGAGCAGTCATTCCATCATCGTCTTTTTCATTAAGCAAGTATTCATACTTTCTTGCAATCAAGAGGGCTATATCTGTCTCAGCATAAATCAGAAAAATAAAAATAAAGAGATCAGCAACAGCAGCCCTCAAATTGTATCATATATACACCTTGTCACAGTACTGAACAATCTGACTAACAATATATATAACAAACATGGCATAAGCTTGTTGTATTTCTAGTGAATTTTGATGAAAATGGATGCATATATAACTGAGTAAGACTATGATGACTAAACGGCATGTTACGTGTCTAGTTTATTGTTATCTTTTTTTATGCAAACTAGAGAGTGATAGATCTCTATTGGATCGTATCATTATCTGTCAGGGGCTACTTACCAAAGTGCTCGGTTTGGACAGCCAAATGAAGTATAGTGGCGGTATCCTTCCTATAATGAAAGACCTTAAGATCTGCTTCATTTTGAATGCTTTTGTTGATTTCATCATCAAGAAACTCAAACATTCTTTTTTTCCCATAACGGGCAGCACGAAATAGAGGCATCTCTCCTTGCCGGTTGCACTTACTTAGCAATTTTGGTGCTTTGATCAGTATTTCCTTGGCCGCCGGGACTATGCTGTCCGCAGTGGCTGCCTCGTGGAGTACGGTGTTTCCCAAGTCATTGGTATGCATCAGTTTGGGAAATTGATGTTCGGGCAAGTCTTTGAGTAAACTGAGCACCAAATTTGTTTGTCTGGAGTGGATGGCCATATGAAGGACGGTGTCTTGGTGTAAGGTTAGTATGTACAATGGACCATCTGGATTTTGTTGGCAAAGTCGTATCACCTCGTCCCCCTCTTCTCTCATTAGAGCACTGTACAGTTCCTTATTGTACCTATATTTTGCACCATTGGCTTTGAGAACCATACTGCTGGAGAGAGAGAGAGAGAGAGAGAGAGAGAGAGAGAGAGAGAGAGAGAGAGAGAGTTTTACCACTAGTGTATATACATAGATACACATGACAGAGCAGCTAATTTATAGTTCCAAATGGTTTGGATTAGGCTATCACTTTTCTAAGGAAATTTGGCCAATTATGGTTTTCTTTCTTTAAAGATTGCATGGTATTCTTAAAGTCTTACCCACTTTAGCCTGCATATATGGTAATGCACTACACTTTAACAGCCAAATTGGTCGGGACTTGGCTTTAATTACATTTTGATGTATTTTGAATACTTTTTTAACAGTAATAAAGTAAGGTTCATGTTATTTTATTGAACTTACATTGACCAGCTCGGGAAAAGAAGGAGAGCGATGTTACTTGGATTTCATCTGTTAACTTTATTTATTGATTACCTAATCAGTTTGTGCCATTGATAACTAAAATCAATCAATTGTGGGGAGTGTAATGTAATCCGAATATGGAGATTGATCCAAAACTTTTTAATGAACGAATAATCCATTTAGGTCAACCAGGAAGACATTCTAAATGGTTCATTTCTTACTATTAAATACATGCGGTATATTCATAAGATCAAAAGAAGTCGGAATCATTCTCTTATTAAATATTGAGACCCACTATTAATCTAATGACAATGTTGGATTAGATTAACAAATTCAAGTAAGAAACTAAATTCAAATACAATTACTCTCAAGAAATTGCATTAGAACTGATATAAGAAGTGAGGACATCGTACGAGTGGAAAGAAACAATGGATTCTCTTTGTGTGCGAGAGGCACATGGAAAAGATAAAGTTGATAGTGGAACAGCTATTACCCCTATAATGAGGTATTTGTGTGCTTTTAGATTTAATCCTGCAAGAGGCATCTGATTTGTTCTTTTCTTTTGAAAAAAAAAATGCTTTTTCAAGACAAAACTAGGTTTTTGACCAAAAAAAGAAAAAACGCACTGGGACCTTTAAAAAGATTAATGCTNACATTGTTTTATTTTCAAGTTATGCCTTGAGATAAAATCTCTTGGGTTGTCACTCCATAATTTTAATGACAATGATACTTCAAGCATTTAGATTATGAACTAAAATATCATGACAGCAAATTCAATATGCAATGGTGAAGTCATATCATCAGTGACAGATATGGTAACACTATGTTTTTATAGTGTTTTATAATTAGACAATGATACAACGGGTCAGTGGTGGAGGATATCATTTTTCCCAAAGAATATGCAGTGAAGAATATGTGTTTTCTCCGCATGTGCTAAAGGAATGGAACAATGCTAGAAGTGCACCTCAAATAAGAGTAGATCTTCTTGTAATATCAGAGCAGGGCTTCGCATGTCTTCAGTCCCTAGATCTTTTGATCTTTTGCTAACATAGTGTAGTATAGAGTCGCCATTTATGTCAAGCTTTCGGATCAACCTCCTCATTGGAATTTCCAATTTTACTATAAAATCAAAGACTTGTATTTGGCGATTCTTGGCTGCGATATGTAAAACGNCATTGGAATTTCCAATTTTACTATAAAATCAAAGACTTGTATTTGGCGATTCTTGGCCACGATATGTAAAACATTACGCCCACGATAATCAACATACTCTATTGCCTGAGGATATGACATAAGTATTTCTTCAACAATCTCCATAATGCCTGACTTTGCTGCCAAAAACAATGCAATTCTCGCAGCGGATTTTAGATTGCTTGATGCTGCTTTCTGTGACGTCACCTCTACCCCTTGGCCTTGGGAAGTCTTGGAGGTATATTTGTGGGTCTTTGGCTTACTTGGGTTTAATGCAATTTCAGTATCCTCCCATGAGGTGTCTCTCTCTATCAAAAGCTTGGCAAGTTTCACTGCTGACTCATAGTTGCGTTTCTGCATTTGGATTGATTCCCACATGGGAATTGTACATGTTCGAGCTTTTGAAGAAATAAAAGTCAGATATGTTTGTCTTCAAACAAAGATATAAGAAAAAACATGTTATGGCAAACCAAAAAGTACTATTAACATAAAAAAAAAATTACTTCCACTGAACTTTTATGACATATAATAACTACGATAATTTTTTATGAAGAACAGTATGTCATGGATGCTAGTGATGTTGCCAACTCGAAAGCACAGCAGCCCAGTGGGCCTTAGCCGTGACCCAACAGCCTAGCTCGGCCCAGCTTAGAAAGCAAGATGATCGGTTGGCCCACTAATGGCCCGTGATATTTAAAAGATTTTGCCCTATTATGCTAACCATTAATCAATATCATCGTTTATTTCGATCAATAACGGTCATTTTTTTTTATCTCAATTTCAACTATGAAATTGTTAATTTAAAGAAGTAGATATTTAATTTAAGCAATTTATTAAAGACACAATTATGATTTGTTTATGGTCCATCAGACCATTCAATTGGGAGAGATACAGAAATAGAATTCCTAGTATTGAAGACTTCTACTTTATTACATCGTTCAAGCATCTCCTTGACTGAAGGAAGAGTGAAGAAGCTTGAATTGTGTCTTAACGTTAGTATTGAAAGACAATGTGTGATTTCTAGTTGAAGTCCCATAAATGAATATTAGTAAAACAGGATGCTAGACTTATTCAATAGCCCTTTACCTCCATTTGTCGTAGTAGTTGTTAGACTTGAGATACCTGAAAAATATACCACATGAATACGTAAGGTACCGTTTAACCACATTTTTCAAATATATGTATTTTTTTTTCCTTTAAATATTTTTGAGAGTGCTCGTTTTTTTTTTTTTTTTTTTTTTTCGTTTTTCCATTATCCCAATTTACTTCGTACCTTTAAGCATGATTGTATGTATAGTAGTATATACATATCTGACTTATATACTAAGACGTATAAATGAAAAGTTAAGTGTCGTACAAGAGTAAAAGAATTGCTGGAGAGATCCTTGTGTTCTCCCTTTTTCGAATGCCGATGGATTGATTGCAAGAAGTTGAAGAGCAGTCATTCCATCATCGTCTTTTTCATTAAGCAAGTATTCATACTTTCTTGCAATCAAGAGGGCTATATCTGTCTCAGCATAAATCAGAAAAATAAAAATAAAGAGATCAGCAACAGCAGCCCTCAAATTGTATCATATATACACCTTGTCACAGTACTGAACAATCTGACTAACAATATATATAACAAACATGGCATAAGCTTGTTGTATTTCTAGTGAATTTTGATGAAAATGGATGCATATATAACTGAGTAAGACTATGATGACTAAACGGCATGTTACGTGTCTAGTTTATTGTTATCTTTTTTTATGCAAACTAGAGAGTGATAGATCTCTATTGGATCGTATCATTATCTGTCAGGGGCTACTTACCAAAGTGCTCGGTTTGGACAGCCAAATGAAGTATAGTGGCGGTATCCTTCCTATAATGAAAGACCTTAAGATCTGCTTCATTTTGAATGCTTTTGTTGATTTCATCATCAAGAAACTCAAACATTCTTTTTTGCCCATAACGGGCAGCACGAAATAGAGGCATCTCTCCTTGCCGGTTGCACTTACTTAGCAATTTTGGTGCTTTGATCAGTATTTCCTTGGCCGCCGGGACTATGCTGTCCGCAGTGGCTGCCTCGTGGAGTACGGTGTTTCCCAAGTCATTGGTATGCATCAGTTTGGGAAATTGATGTTCGGGCAAGTCTTTGAGTAAACTGAGCACCAAATTTGTTTGTCTGGAGTGGATGGCCATATGAAGGACGGTGTCTTGGTGTAAGGTTAGTATGTACAATGGACCATCTGGATTTTGTTGGCAAAGTCGTATCACCTCGTCCCCCTCTTCTCTCATTAGAGCACTGTACAGTTCCTTATTGTACCTATATTTTGCACCATTGGCTTTGAGAACCATACTGCTGGAGAGGGAGAGAGAGAGAGAGAGAGAGAGAGAGAGAGAGAGAGAGAGAGAGAGTTTTACCACTAGTGTATATACATAGATACACATGACAGAGCAGCTAATTTATAGTTCCAAATGGTTTGGATTAGGCTATCACTTTTCTAAGGAAATTTGGCCAATTATGGTTTTCTTTCTTTAAAGATTGCATGGTATTCTTAAAGTCTTACCCACTTTAGCCTGCATATATGGTAATGCACTACACTTTAACAGCCAAATTGGTCGGGACTTGGCTTTAATTACATTTTGATGTATTTTGAATACTTTTTTAACAGTAATAAAGTAAGGTTCATGTTATTTTATTGAACTTACATTGACCAGCTCGGGAAAAGAAGGAGAGCGATGTTACTTGGATTTCATCTGTTAACTTTATTTATTGATTACCTAATCAGTTTGTGCCATTGATAACTAAAATCAATCAATTGTGGGGAGTGTAATGTAATCCGAATATGGAGATTGATCCAAAACTTTTTAATGAACGAATAATCCATTTAGGTCAACCAGGAAGACATTCTAAATGGTTCATTTCTTACTATTAAATACATGCGGTATATTCATAAGATCAAAAGAAGTCGGAATCATTCTCTTATTAAATATTGAGACCCACTATTAATCTAATGACAATGTTGGATTAGATTAACAAATTCAAGTAAGAAACTAAATTCAAATACAATTACTCTCAAGAAATTGCATTAGAACTGATATAAGAAGTGAGGACATCGTACGAGTGGAAAGAAACAATGGATTCTCTTTGTGTGCNTTTAAAAGATTTTGCCCTATTATGCTAACCATTAATCAATATCATCGTTTATTTCGATCAATAACGGTCATTTTTTTTTATCTCAATTTCAACTATGAAATTGTTAATTTAAAGAAGTAGATATTTAATTTAAGCAATTTATTAAAGACACAATTATGATTTGTTTATGGTCCATCAGACCATTCAATTGGGAGAGATACAGAAATAGAATTCCTAGTATTGAAGACTTCTACTTTATTACATCGTTCAAGCATCTCCTTGACTGAAGGAAGAGTGAAGAAGCTTGAATTGTGTCTTAACGTTAGTATTGAAAGACAATGTGTGATTTCTAGTTGAAGTCCCATAAATGAATATTAGTAAAACAGGATGCTAGACTTATTCAATAGCCCTTTACCTCCATTTGTCGTAGTAGTTGTTAGACTTGAGATACCTGAAAAATATACCACATGAATACGTAAGGTACCGTTTAACCACATTTTTCAAATATATGTATTTTTTTTTCCTTTAAATAGTTTTGAGAGTGCTCGTTTTCTTTTTTTTTTTTTTTTCGTTTTTCCATTATCCCAATTTACTTCGTACCTTTAAGCATGATTGTATGTATAGTAGTATATACATATCTGACTTATATACTAAGACGTATAAATGAAAAGTTAAGTGTCGTACAAGAGTAAAAGAATTGCTGGAGAGATCCTTGTGTTCTCCCTTTGTCGAATGCCGATGGATTGATTGCAAGAAGTTGAAGAGCAGTCATTCCATCATCGTCTTTTTCATTAAGCAAGTATTCATACTTTCTTGCAATCAAGAGGGCTATATCTGTCTCAGCATAAATCAGAAAAATAAAAATAAAGAGATCAGCAACAGCAGCCCTCAAATTGTATCATATATACACCTTGTCACAGTACTGAACAATCTGACTAACAATATATATAACAAACATGGCATAAGCTTGTTGTATTTCTAGTGAATTTTGATGAAAATGGATGCATATATAACTGAGTAAGACTATGATGACTAAACGGCATGTTACGTGTCTAGTTTATTGTTATCTTTTTTTATGCAAACTAGAGAGTGATAGATCTCTATTGGATCGTATCATTATCTGTCAGGGGCTACTTACCAAAGTGCTCGGTTTGGACAGCCAAATGAAGTATAGTGGCGGTATCCTTCCTATAATGAAAGACCTTAAGATCTGCTTCATTTTGAATGGTTTTGTTGATTTCATCATCAAGAAACTCAAACATTCTTTTTTTCCCATAACGGGCAGCACGAAATAGAGGCATCTCTCCTCGCCGGTTGCACTTACTTAGCAATTTTGGTGCTTTGATCAGTATTTCCTTGGCCGCCGGGACTATGCTGTCCGCAGTGGCTGCCTCGTGGAGTACGGTGTTTCCCAAGTCATTGGTATGCATCAGTTTGGGAAATTGATGTTCGGGCAAGTCTTTGAGTAAACTGAGCACCAAATTTGTTTGTCTGGAGTGGATGGCCATATGAAGGACGGTGTCTTGGTGTAAGGTTAGTATGTACAATGGACCATCTGGATTTTGTTGGCAAAGTCGTATCACCTCGTCCCCCTCTTCTCTCATTAGAGCACTGTACAGTTCCTTATTGTACCTATATTTCGCACCATTGGCTTTGAGAACCATACTGCTGGAGAGGGAGAGAGAGAGAGAGAGAGAGAGAGAGAGAGAGAGAGAGAGAGAGAGTTTTACCACTAGTGTATATACATAGATACACATGACAGAGCAGCTAATTTATAGTTCCAAATGGTTTGGATTAGGCTATCACTTTTCTAAGGAAATTTGGCCAATTATGGTTTTCTTTCTTTAAAGATTGCATGGTATTCTTAAAGTCTTACCCACTTTAGCCTGCATATATGGTAATGCACTACACTTTAACAGCCAAATTGGTCGGGACTTGGCTTTAATTACATTTTGATGTATTTTGAATACTTTTTTAACAGTAATAAAGTAAGGTTCATGTTATTTTATTGAACTTACATTGACCAGCTCGGGAAAAGAAGGAGAGCGATGTTACTTGGATTTCATCTGTTAACTTTATTTATTGATTACCTAATCAGTTTGTGCCATTGATAACTAAAATCAATCAATTGTGGGGAGTGTAATGTAATCCGAATATGGAGATTGATCCAAAACTTTTTAATGAACGAATAATCCATTTAGGTCAACCAGGAAGACATTCTAAATGGTTCATTTCTTACTATTAAATACATGCGGTATATTCATAAGATCAAAAGAAGTCGGAATCATTCTCTTATTAAATATTGAGACCCACTATTAATCTAATGACAATGTTGGATTAGATTAACAAATTCAAGTAAGAAACTAAATTCAAATACAATTACTCTCAAGAAATTGCATTAGAACTGATATAAGAAGTGAGGACATCGTACGAGTGGAAAGAAACAATGGATTCTCTTTGTGTGCGAGAGGCACATGGAAAAGATAAAGTTGATAGTGGAACAGCTATTACCCCTATAATGAGGTATTTGTGTGCTTTTAGATTTAATCCTGCAAGAGGCATCTGATTTGTTCTTTTCTTTTGAAAAAAAAAAATGCTTTTTCAAGACAAAACTAGGTTTTTGACCAAAAAAAGAAAAAAAGCACTGGGAAACTTTAGATATAAGCAACTACTTCCAATCATCCTCTCGTGAGACACATGTTCTCGTGTGTGGAATTTATGAAAAAAGTGATTTGGAATATAATAAATACAAGTTTGTGTTTCGTAATGCTTATCCTAAAGATAGCACTTGATTTGTTGTTATTTGTGTCATTTTAGTATACTTCTTTTTTTGTTGGTCTCCTAAGTTCTCAATTTGTGTTAGTTTTGTAAAATAATAAACAATGGTTTAAATTGAACAACAATAGTGATCCTATATGTCTACGTGACCACACTGGAAGACTATTCTTTGAAACTAAAGAAACTAAATAACAAATTTTAAAACATAAAAATAAAGTAACACAAACAAAAAACTTGAGTACCCAGAGTAATCCCACATTTTCCATGTTTGAAATAGTACAAAAGACCCATGTTAACTATGTTTCAATAAAACTTTGCAGCCCGGGATAATTGTGTACTCGCATAAAACATTGCAAAAGACCAAGAGAATAAAGATAAATTGTTCTTAGAAGATATTTGATTTGGATACAATATTTTACATTTTTTGTAAATAAACGGAATTTTATTGGTTTGCAATTGGACTCTTACACACAAAAAAACAAAAAAAAAGAGGGGAAGGGGGACTAAAAAAACCGCTTAATGATCCCCGGTGTTGTATATATTTGAGTTCTTACAATAGTTACAAAAAATTCTCAAGTTCCTTTCTCTCCAAATGAAATAAATTGTAGTTGACAAACACAGAATAGCAATGGTTTTTTGTAACAATTTTCCCCTCCATTTAACTGTAACTTCATCTATCAAATTACCCCATGACGCTGGCTGCCAAAAAGAATCACACTAATGCAAAATGGAATTCCAGATTGTGGCAAAGTAAGGGTAATTAAAAAGCGGNTTTTTTTTTTTTTCGTTTTTCCATTATCCCAATTTACTTCGTACCTTTAAGCATGATTGTATGTATAGTAGTATATACATATCTGACTTATATACTAAGACGTATAAATGAAAAGTTAAGTGTCGTACAAGAGTAAAAGAATTGCTGGAGAGATCCTTGTGTTCTCCCTTTGTCGAATGCCGATGGATTGATTGCAAGAAGTTGAAGAGCAGTCATTCCATCATCGTCTTTTTCATTAAGCAAGTATTCATACTTTCTTGCAATCAAGAGGGCTATATCTGTCTCAGCATAAATCAGAAAAATAAAAATAAAGAGATCAGCAACAGCAGCCCTCAAATTGTATCATATATACACCTTGTCACAGTACTGAACAATCTGACTAACAATATATATAACAAACATGGCATAAGCTTGTTGTATTTCTAGTGAATTTTGATGAAAATGGATGCATATATAACTGAGTAAGACTATGATGACTAAACGGCATGTTACGTGTCTAGTTTATTGTTATCTTTTTTTATGCAAACTAGAGAGTGATAGATCTCTATTGGATCGTATCATTATCTGTCAGGGGCTACTTACCAAAGTGCTCGGTTTGGACAGCCAAATGAAGTATNATCATTCTCTTATTAAATATTGAGACCCACTATTAATCTAATGACAATGTTGGATTAGATTAACAAATTCAAGTAAGAAACTAAATTCAAATACAATTACTCTCAAGAAATTGCATTAGAACTGATATAAGAAGTGAGGACATCGTAAGAGTGGAAAGAAACAATGGATTCTCTTTGTGTGCGAGAGGCACATGGAAAAGATAAAGTTGATAGTGGAACAGCTATTACCCCTATAATGAGGTATTTGTGTGCTTTTAGATTTAATCCTGCAAGAGGCATCTGATTTGTTCTTTTCTTTTGAAAAAAAAAAATGCTTTTTCAAGACAAAACTAGGTTTTTGACCAAAAAAAGAAAAAAAGCACTGGGAAACTTTAGATATAAGCAACTACTTCCAATCATCCTCTCGTGAGACACATGTTCTCGTGTGTGGAATTTATGAAAAAAGTGATTTGGAATATAATAAATACAAGTTTGTGTTTCGTAATGCTTATCCTAAAGATAGCACTTGATTTGTTGTTATTTGTGTCATTTTAGTATACTTCTTTTTTTGTTGGTCTCCTAAGTTCTCAATTTGTGTTAGTTTTGTAAAATAATAAACAATGGTTTAAATTGAACAACAATAGTGATCCTATATGTCTACGTGACCACACTGGAAGACTATTCTTTGAAACTAAAGAAACTAAATAACAAATTTTAAAACATAAAAATAAAGTAACACAAACAAAAAACTTGAGTACCCAGAGTAATCCCACATTTTCCATGTTTGAAATAGTACAAAAGACCCATGTTAACTATGTTTCAATAAAACTTTGCAGCCCGGGATAATTGTGTACTCGCATAAAACATTGCAAAAGACCAAGAGAATAAAGATAAATTGTTCTTAGAAGATATTTGATTTGGATACAATATTTTACTTTTTTGGTAAATAAACGGAATTTTATTGGTTTGCAATTGGACTCTTACACAAAAAAAAAAAAAAAAAAAAAAAAGGGGAAGGGGGACTAAAAAAACCGCTTAATGATCCCCGGTGTTGTATACATTTGAGTTCTTACAATAGTTACAAAAAATTCTCAAGTTCCTTTCTCTCCAAATGAAATAAATTGTAGTTGACAAACACAGATTAGCAATGGTTTTTTGTAACAATTTTCCCCTCCATTTAACTGTAACTTCATCTACCAAATTACCCCATGACGCTGGCTGCCAAAAAGAATCACACTAATGCAAAGTGGAATTCCAGATTGTGGCAAAGTAAGGGTAATTAAAAAGCAGAAGACAGTGATCTTCAAGTTCTTCTCTGCATAATTTACAAAATGTATCAACATTATTGCAAAACCCTTGCAATCTATTCTTAGTTCTTAGTTTCTTTTTAATAGCTACCCATAAGAAAAAAAAAACTTCATCTTGCCACAACTTTACCAAAGCATGGTAAATGATAACACTAGACACAAGGATAACGAGTTTTGATACTATCCCAGGCACTGCTAGCTAAAACATTTCATTTGTATAAAGTGTCCATATAAAGGGCGTGTTTTGGCGTAATAGTAAGATTGCTCTATTGTGACTTAAATGTCACGTGTTCGAGTTGCAAAAATAGTCTCTTTGCATGTAAGGTAAGATTGTATACATCTAACATTTTTCAGACCCCACAATAACGAGAGTCTCGTGCATTTAGTACACCATTTATTATTTGATCCTTCCCTACACCAAGACACTGATATGAAGGTGTTTCCAATTGAATAATCTCCTAAGCTTCGAGAAGTAGCATTATTGATTCAAGATTAGGATAAAGTGAGAGTCCATTATTAACAATAATCTTATGTTTGGATTGGAGAACAGACAAGTACTGATCTTTCATAGAGAGTTTGCCAAACAAAACTTCATATATATTGTGGGACAGAGGCAAGAGTGGGGCGCCTCCCACTAGCCCATGGCGTCGCCCACATACACACACATAACTACAAGGCATTGCCCACTATAGTAAACACCCAAAGAAGCCTCCAGGCAGCCTCTTGGCGCCGCCCACCACATCTCCAACATGAGCTCTCTCTATTTAACTACATTAAAAAATGAGGCCTAGTGCTAGGAAGGGGGGATCATCACAGCCAACGCCCAAGGCACCCACTAACCTCTTCAAGGCGTCGCCCAAGCTGCCCAGCAGTCTTGAGGCGTAGCCCAAGCCACACAGCACACCAAAATTGACTCCAACTTTGACCACAACACTCAGCTTTGCCTAAGCATCACCCAAGGAGTTGGCTAGCCTCTTGCGTCGTCGACCACCACAATGCCCAAGGTGCTCTCCAATCTCCTGTGGCGTCGCCCAAGGCACCCTGCCAACTTTCAGACATTGGGGCATCGCCCTACCCCGCCTCCGGCGTCACTTGCACCTGGTGCCACATGACCCTCGTCCTAGCGTCGCCTCTGCTCGTCGCCCAGATTGATAAACAAACCCTCCAAACGAACATATTCCTTCCTATAAGGCAGGACTCAATGTCCTAGT